ATTATTTTTTTTGCACACGTCGTCATGGACTTCTGATTTCCTTGCAGAAGAAAACGAATCTCTCCCATGGGAGATCCCTGCCCTAGCAGGTCTGTCTTATAACAGGAATTGTGTGTGATGTCCGCAGATGAAGAAGGCTGTGGTTGCTAACCTGGAACTGACTCCGTGAGCAGGCGTAGCCACTAGTTCAAGGCAATTAGACTTTTTTTTACAAGTCGCTTGAGAGAAAAGGATTGCCTTGAAAGTAAAAATACTTTTTTAAACAGCGTCTAATGCTTGTACTATGACCCCTTCCCCTCCCATCCAAAGAGGATTTACTAGTTGAAAAGAAATTAAAATGCAATTGCATAAGTGGGCCTCCTTCATACAAAAGCTGTCTACAGTAGTTCAGAGAAGCTAAAGCTGAAAAAAACATGTATTATTTACAAAAGGGTTAAGCATAAAATGAAAAGGCAAGACAGCATACTTGTGGTTAACATTACAGTACATGACTGTAACAGGCCAGCTTTAAATAGCTCTGTGGTGTGCCTGCTGTTCATTGGAGTAACACGCATTTCTAAAAACAATCAGTAGAGGGCGCAGCAATTTTAGTCTGTAGCTTGTTGATGGCTGCTTGTGCCAAAATTATGAATGAGAGATTGTGTTTCAGCCAGTGTGGGTTTTTTTAAAGTCCTATAGAACAGAAAAAGTCAAACCAGCAGCTTTGAACTTTTTAATAGAATTTTAGACATATGGAAAGTTTTAAAATATGAATGGAGGTTATTAAAAGGTCATGTTTTGTAACAAGGTAAGGAATAAATTTGAACTTTTTTAAAAAATTTGAGATTCTCCAAAAAAATGGGGCTCCTCAGCACATAGACAAAGGACAGAGTCCTTTAGCAGCATCATAAATCTGTGAAGATGAGTGTCTGATATACTCATGTACTAACTGGAAAGCCCTCTCAGCCCTGCTAAACACAAACAGCAGTAACATGCAGCCCGTGAGCACCCTGGCCATCTGTGGACAACAGAGGGAGGGGCTGTCTTTGGCTGTCCTCTGCTTCGACACGGTCCAGCTCTGTGCCGTGATCCTGGTGTTAAACTGGGCGCTCCATGTGGAAGTGATGCTAATATGGGAAATGTCTCAAACAGGGAGGTGATTAAAGTCAACTGATTCCAGCTAAAGGGAACGGAAACAGAATGTGATTCTACTGCTGAGAACTGCTTCCAAGTCCTGTTGATGCTGGACAATGCACAGGACACTCCCAGACTCCACTGTCATTATAGAAGATGATCAAGCTACAGAAACAAGACATAATTCAGGGTCATTTAATTACAGCAATTTCAACAAAGTTTGAGAGAGTTTCTGACACCATGACTCAAAATTACAAAAGGCTATTCTGTATAGTGTGGCATAATACAATTCTGTACAGTACAGAATGAAGTATAATATAGTATACAGTGCATTATAGTGTAACTGTTTCATGTTATACAAACTTCAGAATTGGATGATACGTTTTCAAAAACGATTTCAAATAGCACTGCTTAATTACAGAAATTACAGAAAAAAAGTCAAAGTGGAAACCACCAATATTTCCAAAGTTTCCTCCAGTCTCTGGAGATTCTCCATGAATCAGATTTGCATCTGCGTTTTTTTCTTAGGTGTGGATTATTATCAGTGAGGAATAACAATTGAGCATAGTTGAGAAGCTGCTTGATTTGAGCAACAAAAAAAGACACCAAAATAAATTTTAGACTTGAGAGCTAGCATCAAAAGTCCCAGCAAGCCAGCAATCGGCTGGGCAGATTCCAAGTAAAGTGATCCCATCTGAGCAGACCTCCTTCTCTGGTCAGATACAAATACTACTCAGAAGCAGTCAGTGTCTTTAATGGCTTAACAGTGATGTATACTGTCTAAGAACATAAAACACATGGAAGTGTTTATAGGAAAATAAGTCTTCTGAGGGAGCAATTTAAAAGAAAAAAATAAAAAACCTGCAGTTTCCATGAATCCAAATGAATTAAAAATAACTGTTCCTATCTGAACACTTCCACATGCTTTGAGTTGTTCTTTTCACACTCTTTCTTCCCCTGGAAATAAATCCTCTGCCTTCAGCCTTTAATAGTCGAGTCGCACACAAGGGAGTACCCTGCACCGCTGTGTACATGTAGCACAAATCACTAGGGGACTGAGGAAGCAGCCCCCCAGTATGACACAGCGATACACAGACAGTGACAGAAACTACACCCCTGGACAAGAGCTGGCGGTCAGAGGGGCAGGAGATCTGCCCTCCAGCAAGCAGCACAGGGCTGCTGGTCCTCCCGGTCACTGTAACACTGCCCCACATCCACCAGCAATGGACACCTTAACCTCTTGGTTTATCGTGGTGGAGGGGTGTCCCACTCCCTTGTTTATTTGGCCAGGTTGATATCCCTTTTTCCAAGCAGGTTAAGGCCAAAATGTCAATTAAACGTTTTACGTGAGCGCTTCATTTATTGCTGGATTAATTCACTATAGCGCAGCCTGGCAGAAGAGCCTGCCCCTGGCGTTGACAGGTATCCAGAAATGTGATGCTTCAGTCACTGCTTTGCCATATTTTCATGTGTAGCGTAGTGTGATCGTGTGCAGGAGCCCTAGCTCTTTGATGAGAGCTGTAACCAGTGTTGTTCACGTGTCCAGAATCTCTCTCTGAATCGCACTGTGAATTACTGGCTGTCCCAGAGGGGCTCATCAGTTGCAGTCAGACGCTGACTATCCCCAGTCTACCCCTCCACCCCACAGTAGCGGAGACCCTGCAGTGTGTGCTGCCTGTCTGAATCGGGAAGGAGAGGCATGCTGGAGAGCAGCGTACAGATTCGCACCAGAGAGCCTGGAAGTGTACAGTACTTAACTTCTTAACACAGCATCTGATCTGAACTTGTGCCTCAGCAGTGCAGGGCTCTGAATGTCTCATTGTTCATTCATTGGCCTGACCCCTGAAAGCAGCAGGGAACATTTACAAAGAGAGGGAGAGGGAGGCCACGCTGGAGAAAGACTGGGTGTAGATGAGAGGGGTGTGTGGAGACATAGTGAGGGAAAAAGAGATGGGAGTGTCTGGGGAGGAGGGAAAAAGAGAGAGAGACAGAGAGAGGGAGGGAAGAAGATACATTTGCAGACTTAAGGCTACCTCTCTGCAATTTTACAACCCTGGAAAACCTTCCTCAGCCAAAGTATTTGGGGTCAGATCTTGCCGCGACAGTGGATAAAAAGTGCTATTGTTAGCCCCCAGAGCTGGAGTTTTAAGGGAACATGGATGTTATTTTACCAAACAAACCCTTGCGAGTGAGACGCATTAGAAATGCACAGCCTGGGCCAGGAAAATCTTACCTTTCTCAGGGGCTGCTGACAGTCAGGGAAACTCTCCTGCTTACAGAGTATGTTTAATTTCTCTTTTGCTTTAACGTTAAAAAAAGAAAGAAAGATTTTTCAGAAAATTCCATTGGAAATAAAACACATAAAAAATGTGTTTTTGCAAATCGTTTGACCCTTTGGCAGAGTGACTGGGTAATAGTCGATGACATTTTCTCTTTTTCCTACTATTAATCAGGCAGCACTGAACATGCTGAGACCTCTGTGGCTTTGCCTTTGTTAATAAGTTCAGTGTCCCGCAGGGGAGGAGAGTGTAAAGGCGGGCTGTGCTGGTCAGGTCCGAGTCAGTGCTGCTGTCAGAGACAGCTGAGTGATGTGGAACTTGAGGACAGCCACTGGGGAACTGCAGGAAGAGAGACAGAGGAAGGGAACTCCAAGAGTGATGTGATGCCGGAAAGGGGCGGTGTTATCAGGCGGGGGGTGTGCCCTGGAAGGAGGTTTATCATGGCTGATTGATCGCTTAGCAGATGTTGTCAAGAGCCTTTTCTGCCTTGGGGGCGAGGCAGGTTGGGGTGAAATGGAAGCTGATGAAATCCTGCAGTGGAGTGTCAGCGAGTGGCAGAGGGTGTTGTCACGCCCTCTGCAGCCAGAGGGCGCTCCTTCTCTGTCCTGTCCCTAGTTTCCGGTCTGCTGTCCTTCCTGTCCCTCTCTTCCTTGGGCTATATATTTCCGGGTCTTGCACTCTGTCCTCGCTCAGCATTGATGTTCGGATGTCCTGAGACCTGCCTAGCACCAGGGCGCCCCACGTCCGCTCCCTGAGGGCATAGGTTTCTATACGGCATTCCTGAACTCTTTGCACTAATGAGCCCGGGCCTTTTTCCCGTCTCGCCGCTACGCATATGGGTCTTTTTCTGCTCTCCTGCTCCCCACGGTTAGTCCCTTTGGACGTCCGTGACAGGTGTCAGTCCTAGCATGCAGAGGGCATGCTGGGAAACCACAAATCTCCAACCTGGTTTCTGGAGTTCTACTGGCTCAAGAGGCTTCTTGAGATTGTCGCACTGAGGAGTTGCCAGTATGTGTTTCTGTGACCAGCAATAGCGATTGAGCTTTCACCTTACTGTTTCTGCCCTTTCATTCCTTTTCATACCGAACCCTTTGTTCTGAAAATACGAAATTATGTTCTGAATGCGTGAACTTATTGGCTGCCAGTGAAATACTGTCTGTCACACTCTGCTAAAGTAAACAAACACCTGCAGCCCACAGGGAAACAGTATTTTATCCCTTGTGAAAACTGAGGCCCTCTATAGAGGCCAGAAAAGTATCCTATGGCTGTTAAAATGACTGGGTGATCTTGAGATCGGAAAATGCTGTGAGATTGAAAGAGAGGACATTCTCCATTTCTTCTGCACACACAGCTGATGGGAAAACCAGCAGCTCCTTTAATCAGGGTCTGCATTTCAAACCCTGTCTTTGGATATTCTGCCTTGCCGGACACCAGATCAGCACCAGTGACACAAAGCACAGTCCCAGGGCTGGACACACTGGTCAAGTTGGATGGCATCTAGGGGATGGTGCAGTCTGGGGCTCACTACCTCTCCTCCTACTGCTCTTTCCTCTCCGGTGGTCACTCAAGAGGCGCAGCTGACCCTTCTTGTCCCTCCTGGCTCCGCAGGTGTTTGCCAAGGTGTTCAGCCACGAGGCCCTGGAGAGCTACTTGCCCAAGATCCAGCAGGTGATCCAGGAGACGCTGCGGGTCTGGAGCAGCAATCCCGAGCCCATCAGCGTGTACCGGGAGGCCCAGCGCCTCTCCTTCCACATGGCCGTACGAGTCCTGCTCGGCTTCAGAGTCTCCGACGATGAGCTGAGGCACCTTTTCCACACCTTCCAGGACTTTGTGGACAACGTGTTCTCCCTGCCCATCGACCTGCCCTTCACTGGGTACAGGAAGGTACGGCTGTTCTTCCGCTATGCTCCCTCTCGTTTCCAGGACAAGGGAACGAGGGCACACAGCAACAGTTTGTATTTCATTCTCTGAACAGAACAGTGCCAAACTAGAGGCGGACCTTCTGGAGAAAGTGGGCCTTTGAGGGCTTCTGGAGCATGTACTGCATAAATTAACCCCTTTCTTCCAATTCAATTAACATTTTATTTTTGGAGGTATTTCATATAAAATTACATTTCACTTATGGATAATAAAGATACATAAAATCTAAATCTAAAATGAATCCTAGGTAAAAAGATAAAAACAGAAAAAAGTCATATAATTTCTAATTATACAGTATAATATCAGAAAGAAACCTATTTTTTAGTTCTAGTTGTATAGACCTTACAATCAAAAATGATATCAATCAAAATCTCTCTGGGGATGATGAATTGGAAAGTATAAAATGAATATATAGTAAGTGTTTTAGTTATTTCAATCCAAAAAGGACAGGTGACAAACACATCCGGTTCAGTGTGATTGCTGGAGTTCAGGGAATGTTAATGGTGCCTGTGTCAAGTGTGTGCATGCCGTCCCTACAGGGCATCCGAGCGAGGGACACCCTCCAGAAGGGCATAGAGAAGGCCATCCTGGAGAAACAGCACTGCAGTCAGGGGAAGGACTATGCTGATGCCCTGGACATCCTGATCGAGAGTGGCAAGGAGAACGGCTCGGAACTCAGCATGCAGGAGCTGAAGGTAGGCTAATCCTGCATTCCTCTGGGCGTGCACAGAGTGTGGGGGAGACCCAGGTACAGAGTCTGCCGCGCACCCTCTGGTCAAACCTGCTGTCTCGCTTCAGGAGAACCAACAGTATCCTTGTGCTGCCATTGTAAGCAGTACGAGAAGTGAGAGGCGAGACCGCTCCGTCTGCTTCTCCTCTTGGCTCCTGTACTTGGGGCGGAGTCCTTAAACAATGCTAAATTGCTCAGATGGGAAAAGGTATTCTGGCTGAATAGCATTGCTGATGTTTTCTGTTTAGAACACAAGACATCTTTCATGACCGGCGTCTGGGTTTTATCCAGGTGTGCTTGAGTGCTTCAGAATTGAATTGATTTTCTGATAGGGCGCTGGACTTTCCGGAATCATCAAATGTTGCTTTAATGTGAAATTATTTGCTGGGAAAGCCTCAGTCTTTCTGCAGGCAAGTCTTGCCTCTGGCTTCTGAGGCAAGCTAGTGGTGCACACCCACAGCTCTGGAGGGCTGCAGCTTCTCTGCGCTAACTGGCCTAATGGAGATGATTATTAGCATCATTACATGTTTCAGCTTTGCACAATTTAAAGAGACCTAGAAAACCTTCCTGATTTTGTCCCTCAAGGATTGGTTTTGAGATCCTGTGGGTTAAGCTGATTATACCTCATTTCATAAACTAAGTAATGTTTATGTGCCTCACATTCTCCAACAAAAGAGTGGCAAGTCAATCAGGTCATTTCTGGCTTATGAATGCCTATCTCAAATGACTGCAAAGGAACAAGTAACAGGTGACACCTGAAGAAGGCTCCACAAACTAAACGTTGTGTTTTCTTTCTTCTTTTTTTCAGCATGGAATAAACCTATTACTTGTTCTTTTGCAACGTACGCATGCTGACGCAGCTCCCCACCTGAACTATCTTAAATGACTGCTTAGAAATTTCTTACAACTGATTTATTCATTTGGCGCTTTTATCCAAAGCAACATTACATTTTTATCAGCTTATGCAGCAAAGTATTTTGCTGAAGCAGTCTGATTGTGGTACCTTTCTCTAGGGTACAGGGCTGAACCAAGTTGCAGTTTGAATTTCTATGGCTCCAAAAATGCTATAGCACTGTTTTAGTGACATTGGTGTAAAAATCAGTACAAGCCTTTAAAAAGACAATATTAAGTTATCAGTGCTGCATTAAAAAAATGATTGACATAAAGTCATCTCATAAAATTAATTTAAGAATCTGTAGAGTCTACATGGATCATAATATAGCTCTCAGGACAGGAGAACTAATGACCTTACTCAATGTCTACCAGTGTTCCCTGTTTCCATGAACACAGTACTCTGTGTTCTAAGTCCTCTAGTTCTATGCTAGACGGGAGGAAAAGCATATGCTTTACAGGAGTAGAGCAAATGCCACTTGTAAATGCGTAGCTCACTGGGATCTTGGTAGAATGGATTAAGCATGAGACACACATTGGGAACACCTTCAAATGTTGAGAATTTGAATAACCAGGGTGTTGTTTGGCCTTATCCAGATGTGGCTCAGCATGTGATGCAAGCTAAACCACTCTGATAATCATGGGAGATTCCAATTAAAGCTTTTACGCTAAGAATCTCAAAGGTTAATTCTCTCAAATACCTGAATGGTAGACTTAACAGCCTGGTTTCATCCCTGACCCCCTGCACTGGAGATTACTCAGGGTTTCATTTCAGTCACTGATACAAGGCTTTACCAAGCCTTTCAGTTCTGTCTCCTGCTGCTGAGCTGCTGAGCTTGTTTGAAAAAGTCATGCCCTCTACTAGGGCATGCTTGTTTAGAGGCTAGGCATAGGCTCTGTCCCCTGACAGCTGAGGTCCTCATTGACTTGCTGCCAGACAGTTTCCACAGATTGTAACAGTCCAGGAAGATCATCAGGAAGACATGAACAACATATTGGTACACTTCGGAAATTCCACCTACTGTATCTTTTACTGCCACAGGAATTGAGGCTCTGCCAAACATGACTCAACACTTTCTTGTCAGAAAGCCTGTGCTCCAATGTCAGAGGCTCTGTGTGTTTTTTATCTTTACTGCCCTTGTTGCAGAGTAAAGTTGAAAATGGTCTTGTTGGAGTGTTATTTCATGAAACACTTGCCTCTCAAGTGGTGACAGAGAGATGTTTTAACATAAATGCCTACTGAGGTTTTTACTTCAACTCAACAAAGTGTTTTTCCCAGCCAAAGAGAATGTTTGGCTTCCATGTAGTATACAGTACATGGCTGCCTCGATCTCTGACAAGGCAGGACATACCTCCAGACCCCAGGTGGATATCCCATATCATCACATAGATATACGGTGTACACTGTTTAAAAAGCCAAGATTCCATGCTCACGCAGACGAAGTGACACTGCCAATCAAACATTTTCTGTGTCCAGATCTATTATACAACATGACTGCATCACTTAAATTACAAAACCGAAGCCAATATCGAAATGAATCATGTTGTAATACATCGTATGCTTATTAGACCATGCCTGTGTTGATAATCAGTGAGTGTGAGGCACCACACAGACAGCCTTTTCCCAACCAGACAGCCAGATGCTCTTGCTGCTCCCTTAATGCAAAGTGCAGCAGGGAGCCCAGCTGGGGAACCAGGTCCTGTCGCGCGCCCTGCGCCCTGTGCTCAGCCTCCAGCGGTGGTCGTCCTGCTCTCCCTGCTGTGCTGTGACCGCGCCCTGCCTCCCTCCCGCAGGAGTCCACCATCGAGCTGATCTTCGCGGCCTTCGCCACCACGGCCAGCGCCAGCACGTCGCTGGTCATGCAGCTGCTGAAGCACCCCGCCGTGCTGGCCAAGCTGCGCGAGGAGCTGCGCGCCCACGGCATCCTCCACAACGGCTGCCTGTGCGAGGGGGCGCTGCGGCTCGACAGCATCTGCGGCCTCAAGTACCTGGACTGCGTGGTCAAGGAGGTGCTGCGGCTCTACACGCCTGTGTCCGGGGGATACCGCACGGCCATGCAGACCTTCGAGCTGGACGTGAGTGTCACTGCATAGAGTCGCCGATAACCATGACATATGGAAGAACTAATCATTATAATAAGAATAATTCCTTACACTTACTGTATATAGCGCTTTTCTAGACACTCCTCTCAAAGCACTTTACAGATCATGGGGATCCCCTCCACCACCACCAGTGTGCAGCCCCACCTGGATGACGCTCCAGTACTCTCCCCACACACCAGCTCTCAGTGGGAAGGAGAGCAGAGTGATGAAGCCAGTTCAGAGATGGGGATTATTAGGAGGCCATGATTGGTAAAGGCCAGGGGGAAATTTGGCCAGGACACCAGGGTAACACCCCTACTCTTTTCGAGAAACGCCCTGGGATTTTTAATGACCACAGAGAGTCAGGACCTCGGTTTTATGTCTCATCTGAAGGATGGCACCTTTTATACAGTATAGTGTCCCCGTCAATATACTTGGGGCATTGGGACCCACACAGAGGGTGAGTGCCTCCTACTGGGCCCACTAACACCTCTTCCAGCAGCAAACTTAGTTTTTCCCAGGAGGTCTCCCATCACACCTGCTGAGCTTCACAGTTGCTGCTGGCCAATGTGCCTTAACGCACGTTCAGTATTCAAATTTGCATTTCAATCCTCCCTCTGTCAAGAATTTCAGTTTAGTGACCCCCCCCCCCCTTCTGCAGAAGCAGACTGAGGCAGGTGAGACCTGGTGATGGAGAGCAGTGAGCTGACGGCCTCTCTCTCTGTCTCCTCCTCCGCTGCAGGGCTTCCAGATCCCCAAGGGCTGGAGCGTGATGTACAGCATCAGGGACACGCACGACACGGCCGCCGTCTTCAAGGACGTGGACGCCTTCGACCCCGAGCGCTTCAGCCAGGAGCGCAGCGAGGACAAGGAGGGCCGCTTCCACTACCTGCCCTTCGGGGGCGGGGTGCGGACCTGCCTGGGCAAGCGGCTGGCCACGCTGTTCTTGAAAACGCTGGCCGTCGAGCTGGCCAGCACCAGCCGCTTCGAGCTGGCCACCAGGACTTTCCCGCGCATCATCACCGTGCCCGTGCTGCACCCGTCGGACGGCCTGAAGGTCAAGTTCTTCGGCCTGGACTCCAACCAGAACGAGATCATGGCCGAGTCGGATGAGATTCTCGGCGCCACCGTCTGAGCCAGAGAGCCGGGCTGGCAGGAGGGACTGCGGGGAGGACGTCGGGTGACTGCGTCCACAGCAGAACAATGCAAGCAACACGACAAAACACAACAAACAGCAACACAACAGACTGGTGCCAACAGCGCGCGCAACCACCGCGGACCACACCACGGACTTTCTTTCTGAGCGACCGATTTTATATGAAGAGACAATACGAGAAACAACTGCCAAAAATGTATAGATTTCGTTCTCTCTCTTTAAATCTTTGCAAGAAGCCTCTGACAGGATTCGTCCAGCCAGGAAAGGGCAGGGGTCACGTGAGCCCCCTCGGGGAAGTAAGACAGCGGGAGGGGAGAGGTGGAACACGATGAACAAGAGGGAAGGAGGAAAAGGAGGGATCTAGGAGCTGCTGGGAGGGGATCAAGGAATGTAAGGAATGGGACTGGGATGGAAATTGAGTGCTGGGAGAAAGGGGGAGAAATTTGTAGGGATGAAAGAGATAATGCCTTAAGCAGTCATATTCACAGGAGAATATGACCTTGCATTGCTTGCATGAGGTACCAGGGAGAGCGTGGAGCTTCATGTGAAACTGTGCGGAGGTTGCTGTTCCAGTTTTGTGCATATCTAACAAAGAGCTAGGGAGTCAAATCGTAGCTTACTAACGTGTAACGTGTGCTTGGTCACGTTAGTGCCTCATAGAAATAACTGAGCAGATAGGACATCCTGTGTGCTGACAACCCACTTAGAATTATAAATACAGGAGAAATGAAAGACTGGCAAGTGTTGGGTTTTGCCCAGAACAGCTATCTGCTGGTAAAAAAAATAATAGTGAGGTTGAAATGTTAATTCATTTAGACTGCTTTGTGTGCAGTTATTGTCCCTTTGTTTTGGTTTTTTTGTGTTCTAAGCAGAAAAAAAAACTTTTAAGTTTATACATAACATTTGCAAATCCTTTGTTTTTTTTCATTAAGGGTTAAAGGAGAATGTGAAGTTTTGCCAGCTGCACAAAAATCACATTCTTAGGAGGTGGAAAACTATCCCCTGGTTAACTGAAATTCAAGTGTTTTGAGCAAAGAAATTGATTAAAGTTAAAACCAAACTGTCCTCCAATTGAAAAGAGTTGCTTTTCTGTGTAAGATATTCCCTTCTCTTTTAACCTTTTCAAAATACATTTAGAATCATTATTTCTTGTTGTACCTGCCCGATTCAGAACAGACAATGGTGTGATTTTGTCATGTCTCGGCTCGCAGCTACAAACACTGTGTCCGCACACGGGGAAGAATGTGGAGGCGTGGACTCCCACTCCCACCCACTCCTCACAGGAAACACAGACCCTCATGGCGGCTCATGGCCGACGGGAGGAGAGGTGCCTCAAGCCACCTGGAGCCCCCTGGAGCCCCAAGGGCTGGCTGTGTCTCTGTGATCCCGGAGAGCCCTGTCCAATAATCCTGTCCTTCCCTCGGGAACTGGATTATGAGGCATTGCCACTTCAGGAATCCCAGTTAGCGCACTGACATGACCCAGGCTCGAACCCGTGATCACAGAGCTCAGGCTGTTCTTGTGGGGGAAGTGTCTTGAACAATTGAGCCACTCAATTGAGCCCTGGCCCTTTTCCATTTCACAAGCACATTTTGACAGTCCGTGTTCAGACCCTTGGTCAAATCTGCTGCACGATACCACTGACAACGCTGTGCCTCTGCTGCACCTTGTACTATTTTCACTCACAGGACTTTACAAACTGTCATAATGGTTTAGCGAGGTGGTGAGATTCGGAACTCTCTTTGGAAAGCAAGTGTGGTTCTGAGAGCCAAGAGCAATGGGTGAGAAGAGCCTTCAGGCCCATTTTAGCGCATCATAGGGTAGCATATTTGCAGTTTCTCGTTTTTCTAATAACCTAATGTTATTGTTATAATTATTATAATTATTATTGTAATAATAAATATTATTTTTAAGTGCTATTTTTGTTATATTTCAGAATAGAGATTTAGTATAAATAAAGTTTTGTTGGTAAATATTGTTATATTTAGTACAATAAGAATTTCCATTATATTGTAAACAGTGTTTAAATGTTAATATTGTTTTTTATTATTTTTATTATTATCATCATCACTGGTGTTGTTTTTACATTTGGTTAATATGGAACAAAAAGAAAAAAAACACAAAAGTGTGATGTTTGTGATGTATGTTAATATTTGGTGCCATGTGACCACATTCTGTGTTCAGTGGACAGCTGTGTGCGTTTGTCCTTTTGTATATATTTCTTTTTACGATTCAGCATTTCACTTAGTTAAAATATGAATGTTGTTTTTGTGTCTTGGTTTATTTGTCATCTGTGATCTTTAATGTTTTTTGACAATTTTATAGACTCCTATAATAAAGTATAAAAATTCTCAACTAATTTGTGTCCTTTCGAATACCTGCTGTAAAAGTGAGGCAGTTGGCAGACTTACGGAGTTATTTGGAAACTGTACCTTCTGTTAATCATGCAAATATCTTCTGAGCACTGGAGGTTAAAGAATCAACACTGTTTCTCATCAGCGACTGACCAATAACTACCTGAAAATGAATGGAACTTCATCTCGCAGTATTTATTTTTGTTTTTTTTTTTTTTTTTCCATTTTGTTTCGTGTTGGAATAAAAGATGCTCAAAGCGACTATCTGGAAAATACAAAGGACACACTCATTCCCCTTACACAAAATAATAAAGTTAGTATTCACAATCGATGAAAAAACAACATTTTCACCACCTACTGTGCAGCAATTAGAAAGCGGCAACAGCTTAGCGTGGGAGATTTGTAATAGAGTGATTATTTTTGCAAAATTTAATAGCTGAGCAAAACTTTGACAACAGTTTCGGAAAATGTGTGTTAAGTTGAGGGGCAGAAATCAAGAGGGTGCGAGCACTGGTGTGATTCTGCACAGTGGAATCAGAAGTCATCGATCCCTTTCCCAGTAATCCAATATTCCAACAGAGCTGCTGGCAGCTGTTTGCCTTAACCCTTCCCTTTACATAAGAACCTACAGTAATTCAGGAACCAGGCAGAGCTCATTTGGTCCAACTAGCCTGTTAGGAAGTTAGTAACATATTGATCTGAGCATCTCATCCAGCTGGGTTTTTGAAAGAAGCCTGGCCATCAGCTTCAATAACATGGCTGGGGTGCTTGTTCCAGACTCCCACAACCCTTGAGGCAAAGCAGTGCCCCCCGTGCTCAGGGTTGATGCACATACTCTACACAAAGTTTCCACTCGTGCCTTCTGGTTAGTGTTTCACTCTTTATTCTGACTAATGAAGTTAGTCATGGGACTCACTCTCCTTCAACCGAGACCATCATCGCTGGTTTTGCAAACTACATACAGAAGGAAATTCTAATTGTGGTAGATTTTTCTGTCTGGATATCTCCAATCTCATGCCGCAGTCTGAACAGCAAACACAGCTGAGGAAGTTCCTAAGCAACCTGTGGTTAAAGAATGTTTTCACCTTGATTAGATCACACACTGCAGTGTATTGCTGTGGTTTATCACACTTTTTGGCCCTTGATAAACATTTCTTGCCGTTAAAATTAAAAAGAAGGATTCTACTCCTTTAACGTGGTCCATTAGTGGAATGCCTTACAATGGAAGCCCCCTGGTTTTGTTCCATGGGTTCAGGACTCCGGATTGCTGAATGGAGCAATTTTATTCATTTGGAATTTGCTTGTTTTATTATTTTCTGCCCCAAGATTCAGCCCAGAGTTTTCAAATGAACGCTCCATCTTGCCTGAGAAATTAACCCAAATTCACCTACGTATTGGAAGCTTTTCCATGTCAGTACTCTTGTCTCGAGCAAACACACTTTGACCTTGCTAGTGTCATTTATGGTATTAATATAAAAGTCATAGCTGAAATATTTTTCTGTTAGGAGGATGAACTGTGGCTAAGGAAAAGATTTTGTAATCAGCGGCCTGGAACATCAAACATGACATTAGTCATGTCAAGTGAGTCTGCAGGAAGAACAACAAGTGAGGTCTCATGTCTTGATTGATGCAGCACCAAGTCAAGGTTGAGACCTGTCACTATAACTGGATTTCTGTAGTGAACGTAGTGGATATTGGTTCCTTTCTGTGATTACTAGAAAACAAAGTAAAGAAAAAGTGTAGCTTTTTAAAATCAGGTTGATATAATTAGTGTGGCAACCTTATTTACTGTATCTCTTGCAGTAAATGCCCAGCCATCTACATTGGGGAAACAGGAAGGAGACTCGGAGACCACTTCAGAGAACACGTCAGGGCTGTGAAGATTAAAGATCTCTCCAAGCCCATTGTTTCTCATTTCACCTCTGACGGCCACGACCACTCTAATCTCTCCGTCTGTGTTCTCAAAGACGGTTTTCCGAACTCATACATCAGAAAGACCACCGAAACTAAAATTATCCTGCAGCTAGGATCACACATTCTCCCTTCCCTTAACGACAGATTACTGTTCTTTTAAATTTTCTCCATTCATTGGAAGTTTCATTTCACACCTCTCTGCACCCATTCTGACTTCACACCTCTTGATTGGCCTCTCTTTCTGTCCCCTGCTCCCGCCTCTCACTCCTCCTCCCTCTCAACCTTTGTTCTCCCGCTACTTTACCTTTGCCTACTGCCCTGTCTCTCTCACACCTGAAGAAGGCTCCACGGCCGAAACGTTGTGTTCTCTTTCTTCTTTTTTTCAGCAGGGAATAAACCTATTACTTGTTCCTTTGCAGCCTACGCATGCTGACACAACTACCCACCTGAATAATTAGTGTGGTACCACAGGGATCTTTGCTAGAACCACTTTCTTATTAATTTATGTGCTCTAATTTCAGTTTAGTTAGTAGTTAATTATGCAGATCATGTAAAAATAGTGTGATTAGTACTTGTACTTTCCTTCCCTTGCTGTTACAATTCTTGGCTTGCCTTGGACAATTGCACCATCTTCAGCTATCTAGTGTGTAAATCTGGATGGGAGAAGTGGGACTAATCGCTATCAAGCGGTAGAGTGGACCTTTTACAGATGAGCTAATGACAGCAGGTAAGCCGACTTATAATCAAAAGCCACGATCTAAAAATAAATCCTTCAATATCACACATTCACCCTTATCATGTCAATGGGAAAGATTGGGTGCTTCCCTGCACCCAATTCACTGACACCACACGATAAACAGAAAAGGCTTGGCAAGGTCTGGGTGAGGTAAAACTTGAGCAGACTCCTGGCTCTATGACAATACAGTTATTAGGTTATAAGGGCAATATACGTGTGGTACCGTGCTGGTGTTCCTTGATGTCTGCTGGGGCTGGATCAACAGACATCCCCTCCTCTGACACTTCATGTACAGGACATTTCAGGCGTCTCTTATAAAAAGACATGTTAGAGTGTTAGTGTTAGATGAGCCTGGGGAAGATGAAAAAAAAAACAACAGGTTTCCAAGTATCCAAGTATTGTTTCTCATAGGATGCATAGTCAGTGATATCGTCGCTGTAGAGAAAATAACAAATACCTTTGGGGTTTTATAAGAATTAGCTGCGAGAGCCACTGGAGGCTTATATTAAGCTGAATAAGTTCAAAGGGTGAAGCCAGTTTTTGTTTGCATTTCCATTCCATTGCCTCTGACAGCAGCCAGCCCAGTGATCCAGCAGTCCACTGACTCCTTCAAAAAAAGCAGAGGACAGGGACTGAAATAGAAGCTATGGGCTGAAGTTCAGGTGGGCTAGCAAAAAACAGCAAGTCAATCTCACCCAGCTGTTCCTAATCATAATCATTACTGAAATTAGCCATATACAGTATTACAAGAAACATCCCCTTTTGCATTTGTCTCTTGTATACCTCAAAACATAGACCATGCTCTTACAAACAACAACAAAAAAAAACAACAAATCTACAGTTCTTCCATTTCATGACATTCTACACAGCACTTCAACACAATAATACAGTGCACACAGCCAAGAAGATGGAAGGTAAGCTTCTACTCACAATAAAACCTAAGACAGAAGGAAAGGAGCCTGTCTTTTATTGCCGTACCTCTACATAGTGTATATTCCTCTCTCCACCGAGGATCTCTACATCTGCTGTTCAGACGAACGGTTTTTGAACTTGAGGAAGAATTTCCGGCTTCTCACAAATAGCTTCCTGATTCGTCTCCAGCCTCTGTTTCACCACTTTCACATTCTCCATCAGCTTCATCATCGCATTTAAATCCTCTTGCTTCCAGAGCCGTTCCCGTTATTCTTCGGCTCATGGAAACTTCACCATCACAACCATCCGCTGCAGTTTCGCGTTCAAACCCCGACGCCAATCAATGCCACTTGCGCCACACTGCTCCTCCTGCAACTCCTGGTACTGTCCCTGACATCAAAGACTGGACGGGCTAAGCTGCAAAGGACTCTCTATAATCATGGCATACATTCTAAAGGAATGCATTGAAAAAAGCCGTTTTTTCTTTATACATCTCTGAAGTCCATAACAAGCCAGCTTCTGTCCTTCAGCATACTTCCGCTTCTGTCACTGACGTCACCCAGTACACAGCAAGATGTCAGTTTACAGAAAAGACCCCTGGGTCACCGCAGCTACCAACCCCAGGACCTTCTACTCTGTTGACCCCCTTTTGCTGTTTCTATTATTAACATTCCTTCTTCACAGTCTATTAGAGTCCTCCTGCCTCTGTTACTAGCATCCATCATTGCCCAACACCTGTGGTGAATTTGTCCCCAATTTCTGTCCTCTACACTCTTGCTGCTCTTGATGCCACCTCATCAGCCTTGGTTCTGTCAGGCATCCTACCTCTGGCTCGGTCAGCAGGTGTCCTACAGCCTTCTCTTTGAATGTAATATGTGACTTTCCTTCAGACTCCTGACTCCAAATGGTCAGCATGGCCCAACACCTTGGCTTCTTCAACCCTGCATCCGTCCTTCTTGGCCCCTGCTGCTCCAGTTGACATCTTCTCTGGCCCAGATCTGTCCAACACCTTATCTTCAGCCCAGTCAGCAGTCATCCTACAGCATCCTACATATACTGTACTCTTTCTCTATCTTCATCATTCAACATGACTCAACACACTTGGTGCCTTCGGCCCCAGTTTTCTCCTGGACTCCCAGTTTGTCTACTATTCCACCTCTAGATCAGTGGGTATCCTACCATGAAACTTTCACCCATGTGTCTCAACATATAACAGAAACCACTGATCAAGTCCAATCAACCTTTTTGCCCACAAATCAAATTTTCTATTTAAACAAACACTGAAGAAATCTCCTTCCACCTAGCTTTCAGTCACAGATCTTTCTGATTCACTTTTTCTTTTCAGTTACCTTATTGGTGCTCTTTTTCCAGCTCCCCTACTGTTTCTATCCCTGTTGTCCAACACTGTGCAAAACCTACGCCTTTGAAGCCTTTTGGGG